AGTTTCGGTGGCCTTGTTTCGACAAGGATTAAAAAAATAGTTTATTCAAGTAATTGGTTAAAATCACTATAAATTAAATCAAATTTCATTTGATAGGTCTATGCTTTAAAAATATAACTGGCCTTAACCGGTTTGGCTCAGTGGATAGAGCGTCGGTCTGGGGACTGAAAGATCCCAGGTTCGATTCTGGTCAAGGTCATGTACCTTGGTTGCAGGCACATCACCAGTAGGGGGTGTGCAGGAGACAGCTGATCAATGTTTCTCTCTCATTGATGTTTCTGACTCTCTATCCCTCTCTCTTCCTCTCTGTAAACAAAATCAATAAGATATATTTTAAAAAAATAAAAATAACTGTTCTTTTTATGTGGTTATATATAAGCCTAATAACATGGATTGCTCCATTGTGTTACTTATTGGTCCAGGTCTACTCAGGAGGTCAGAACATTGCTAGAGGCTATGTTTTGATTTGGCATCTGGAAGCAAAGTTGCTGAGAGGGGTCAGGTTAATTTTGCTACAAGGGAAATCATTACATAAAGGAATCGAACTTTAACAAAAGATTTCATATTTTGAATTGAAAGATGAGAAAGCATAGAAACAAGAAATTAGACAGTGAGGTTGATGGCTAAAATAATTCAGAAAAGGATAGTCAAGTGCAAGTTCAAATCTGGTGATTTAGAATCTCAACTTTGAATAGACAATGTGTGTTCATGTAATTTAGCTTAATCCAGGAGGTTCTTTACCCTTCATCTTCATGAAAGAGGAGTTCTGGTTCAGAAGTCAGAGTATTCCTGAAACCACTCATGTTTCTGCAGGCAACGGAGGAAGAGTCCACTCTCTGGAACAAAATAGTTTTTAGGCAGTCCTGGCTGCCCTTTTCAGGCCTCTATTCGCATAGTCAAATCCCTTCATGTTTCCAATTCCAATGTTTTCATTGTTCCAAGAACAATTCTCATTTTTTAATCTAGGGAGGTACACTCAGGACAAGACAATAAACACTATTCAATTATGTAAAAGAATTGTTAAATATACACCCAAAGGAGGGCTGAAGTTGGTTAGATGCTTTATTATAGCTACATAGGCATGACTATGGCTAATTGCTGCAATTTGCTGAGAATCATACCATGTTCCACAAGATAATGTTTGCAAGAACTACCACAGTATTCAACAAAATCACTAGAATCTAAGACTTGCTCAAAGCCACTCCTTGGGAATCAATAGCCAGCTATGGGATACTTGACCCCCTGCCCTCACTGGACTAAAGTCCTGATTTTTCCTCTGTATAAATTAGAAGCTCTGAAATTAGATATAGGGGAATATGGTGGGTTGACATCCTGACAGACCTTATCCAACTATTTCTACTTTACTGTGCAGACCACCTTCTTTAACTGATAACCAGGTCTGTGGGCAGACTTGCTTTGAGAAATGTGAGTGAATGCTTCAAAAAGAAAGATGCAACTGCAGTATTAAAACCCATGCACTATCCATTTGCATATGTCTTATTCCTTCTCTCCTAAGTTCTCACTGTACAATAGTATGTGGTTACTTATTAAGCTTAAGTGTGACTCAACTATTATAGATTTACTCCTTCTCCCCACCAAAACAACAGACAATTGTGAGTGGTCAGACTCACTTTCTGAATCCTGCTATCCCAAGCCTCTGACACTGTTGATACTTCATGCCATGGGAGTATGTTAGTCACTACCGGGCTCAAGCATTCTGAGGAGACTTCAGATCCACTTTGAGTGATGCTAGGAGTTTCTCAGGGTCACTTGGGGAACATGGGAGAGGAAAACAGGTAGGGTATGAGGCCAGGAGTGACTCCCTGCCCCATTCCGGGGTAGTTTTTATTTATGTATTGGGCTTTTTCATACATTTCTATCAGTACAAAGAGTTCAATTGATTTTCAAAGGTTTGAAAATGGCTGGTGTGGTACATAGAGATCATAAGGGGACTCAGACTTGGTTAGAAGGCCAGAACCTGCCACTTAGTGTAGCAGGAGGGAAAGCACCTCTCCTCTCCAATAATAATCTCCGCACTGCCTACCTCACAAGCTCGCCGTTATGTCGAAATACCACTACGAGTGTGGGAGGCGTAAGAGCTGAGCCTGGGTTCCACTGCAGTTTTCTCCAGCCGGAAGTCCCGTCTCCACGACCCTCCTCACCCCACCCCCCACCCCTCACCTCTTACCCGGAAGTGGACCCCGCGGGTCTGGCCGTCCACTCTGCGCTCTAGGTCTTCCATCCACTGGTGGTGGCGTCCATTCCACCCACCAAGATATGGATCTCTCGGGCCTAGAGTCCCACCCAACCCCCCAAGAGTCTGACCGCAGAGACCTAGATTTCTTCTCTCCTGATTATTTCTCCACTAGCCATGAGTTCGACTCTCTCTACCTAGAATTGGACTTGGACTCTCTTAACGAAGACCTTTCTCAGCCCATGACAGGCGCCATGACAGGGACCTCTGCAGGCGCGTATGAACCCCATCCACCTACCAAACCAGAGGATCTCACAGAGGCAGAGCAGAAAAAGCTCAGGTCCGAGCTCACTAAATTAGAAGCTGAAATTGTAACCCTACGCCATGCGCTAGCAGCCAAAGAAAGACACTGCGTGGAGCTCAAGAGGAAGCTGGGCCTCACCGCCTTGGTGGGGCTGAAGCAGAATCTGTCCAAGGGCTGGCACGAGGTTCAGGTCTCCAACGCCTACATGAAACAAAAGACGTCAGCTGCACTGTCCACCATGGGCTCGGCCATCTGCAAGAAGCTTGGAGACATGAAGAAATCAGCCACATTCAGATCCTTTGAAGGTCTGGTGGGGACAATCAAGTCCAGAGTTGCAGGTGGCAGAGAGCTTGACAATGACTCCCTTCCTTCTTCAGCGGGGTGTGGGGATGATTGGCTCCCAGTTTCGGGGAATAGAGATGATTCACCCCCAATTACAGGGAGTGAGAATGATCCAGTTGCAGGGAGTGGAGATGATCTGGTTACGGGAACTGGGGATGACCTGCTTCCCTTT